CCTATTTTCCTATATTTATTTCAGTATTTGATGATTTAACATGCTCACAATTTTCCCGTGGTAGACGACCGTGTCTGTTGACACTGGGGCGTATACGATGACTCATGAATATTAATATCTACCGGCTTAATATTTCAAAATTGCTCATACCCGTGGTAAGTGACTGTTCTGTTGACAACGTGGTGCATGTGATGACTCATAAATCTTAAAATCTACCATCCTAGTATTTTGAAAGTGCTCATAGTGGAGTAGGAGATGTGTGTTTGTTCGTAGAAGTGAGTGTACGTGCATGTATGTGAGCGTCTACATCTATAATACGATTCACAATAAAAAAGAGATGATATGTATGTGAGCGTCTACATCTATAATACGATTCACAATAAAAAAGAGATGATCACCGAATTGTTATTGCTAGTCAAGTATGCATTCAGTAAAATATAAAATATAATGAAACATTAGTATTATAGTAGAGCCAAAAATTTCAATAGATATATGTCCTAATATGAAAGACAAACATATTTTTATAAATCAAAATATCTTATTGTAATTGTATTCTATTCAATTTTGTTGTTTAGAGGATATTAGTAGACATATATAACAAGATTTTATTTATTATACTCTCTTAATATAAAGGGATTTTATTATCATCGTACCAATTTAGATTATAAATTTCTGTTTCAAGAACAAATCAATCAAATGTAGCTTAATTCTGATGTATTGCGTCTCCAAAGTTATAAAACCCAATCATTTGTAGTGCCTTCTTTTTAACCAAACTGTCTATGGTTGCAGGTTATTGTAATAGTAGTATCCAACGTCATTTAACTAAGATTATGACTACTACAATATCTTGTTTTTTTAATCAAACTATGGTCGCAGGTTGTAGTAATAGTAGTATCCAAAGTCATTTAACTAAGACTGCCTACTGCAGTATCTTGTTTTTAATCAAACTATGGTTTGCTGGTTGCAGGTCCAGGCGACCACACCAGCATCACCATGCTTCGAGATCAGGGTGATTTGACAACGCCACAATGGATCTACTGCACTCTGTCCTGGCTTAATTTGTTTGGGATCTGCAAATGTTTTTTTTTTTGGATGATTCTGTGGATAGATTTGATGCTACTCTCATCCTGTCATTTTGATCGCTGCCAAGAGCAAGTGATTTTGTAATATGATTGTGTGCAGAAGTGATAATTTTGTAATTTACTACTAAAGTTATGTGATCTGGTTTGTGTATTTGCAACGACAATATAGCTTGATCTGTGAAAACTGCTATGATTACACTAAATCAGAGTGCACCAAATCAGAGTAAAAAAGAATCTTGATTTGCGGAAATTGCTTGATTATTACTACTCGATAACGAATCTTAAATGGTGATCTACTTTCCCGAATTTTTGGGAATAAGCAATAGCTTCGTTGATTATAGGCATTTACGTCAAATACTACTTTTTCAACAGAAGACTTCCGAATTTTGTGCCGACCAAGCATTAACTGCTTCCATCTCCTTCCATCTTTTACGGTTGATCTGGTTTCCTGAATTTTAGAGAATAAATAATCTTTAATTTGATTATTTACTTTTATGGTTAATTATAGGTGAATTACGGTTAGAATTCACGATCGGCAAGGATCACAGGCTGCTCCCTTCCTTTTGCGGTTGCACGATCTTTCTTCTTTGCTGGAATTACGGTCACAGGCAAGGATGTCAGGCTGCTCCCTTTCTTTTACGGTCAAAAAAAAGCTGTTCCTGAATCCTGATCCCTTTCCTTTACGTTTGCGGGGCATTATTTTTTACGGTAGTAGACATGCATGCAGCCATGCAGGGAGCCCCGAATAAACACGGCTGCCCTCCCATAGCATTAACTGCCCCGTAAAATTGCCAATAATAGCATTAACTGCCCCGGGCGACAGGAGATCGGTTTTTTGTTGCTGATCCGAAACTACCGTAACAGTTACGGTTGCGGAGGGATGCGTCGTAGCACCGCCGGCGCGCCGAATATTGTTTAGAGCGTAGCGCTCCAAATAGCGCTGTCCTACTATGTTTATAATGTCATTCGTAGAACAAAGCAGTGGTGCATACAGACAATTACAAAACCATACATAACCGTAACACTTGTGGCTAATCAATATGGATCTGCTGCTCGTAAACAAATCGTATAAATCTATTACTACCAAATTTTTACAGTTATCTTTCTGTATATAATCTATGAGGCAATTGCATGCACATTTACGGATACTACTCCTATTCATACCTTGTGATTGGTGTTCTGCATTTTGGGCAATAGCAATTTGTGCTTGCGAATGCTGCATGAGGGGCTGATGTGTACTATATCTTCAGATTCCATTATGCCGTGCCCTGCATCGTGGAACAGGGAACAGAGTTTAAACTAAAAAGGACTCAATATGATACAATGCATCATCATAATAACACACTAAAATCTCAGTCGAAAATGCAGTATCAGCAGCCATACTACTAATACTACTATAATATAATACAAAGTGAAGAGACCGAATGGCATGTGTCGTAATGGTAAGGCAAATCCATCAATATTACTAATGCCATGTCTGAATACTACTAATATTACTAATGCCATGTTTTCCTATGAAGTATTTGGTTACTACTAAAACTACTAATACAAAGTAGTACTGGTAAGACAAATCCATCAATACTACTAATGCCAGGTCTAAATACTACTAACAGTCTAACACTAATAATGCCATGTTTTCCTATGAAGTATTTGGAAACTACTAAAACTACTAATACGAAGTAGTAGGAGTATTCATTATGCGAGAATGGTAGTAATAATTTCTTGTTGATACAAACAAAATCCATCCAATCGACTGCTCCGCTCTGCTCTCCAATGCGAGAACCTTTATGGTTTTTTTTTATACTTAAAGAACCTTTATGGTTGTGAGAAGCAGAAAGTAATTGATTTATATGAACATATGAGATCAGATTTGTTAAAATGCGACATTCTGGTTACTCTGTCCACACTAAGTCCTCACAGACTGTAGGTGCATCAACATGGCTCCATAATCTGGAAAAACAAAAGATAAAGATCAATTTTGATGTTTACCAACTTGTTAATAAAAATTGATAATAATCATTACTGCTAAGAGAAGAGTGTCCAATTCTGGGCACTGGTAGCTCTCATCTATATCACTAGTCATATAAAAAACAGAGGAAAGCTATCAAAATGCAAATACACTAGATGAATTGATCTAATTTACCTTGCATATTCAAACAGGACTAACCTGACAATTCAGACCATGGTTAATTACAAATTGCTTTTGTGGTTTTACTTCAAACTTTTGGTTGCCAAAGTCAAATATTAACCACTTGAGTGTGACCAGGAGTAATCTTTCTCATTCTGTCCAAAAAAAGATATCTAATTTAAAGGGCGTACCCAGTGCAGAGAGCTCCCGCTCCGTGCGGGTCTGGAGAAGGGTGTTAGTGGCAAGCCTTATCCTCGCCTGTGCAATGCAAGAAGACCGCGACTCGAACCCGGGACCTTCCGGTCACAGGCGGTAAGACTCTACCAGCGATTTTATTATGGCAGACAGCCAGACACCTCCAGTATAGTAGTACATATTACTACTAGGATACAAAAATATTACTACATAATCTTACTACCTGAGTAAACAGGAGAATCTAGCTGGCAGTTATAGATTACCATGAGGCATCTAGGAATAAAATATGATGGTTTTATGGTTGCGCAATGGGTTATTACTCTCAAGGGGTTTGCTCCACACTAGAACTGAGCATAAATAATGTATGAATTACATGTATATTTGGAACACTAAATCAGACGAAATTAGAGTTGAGCGAGATTGTTTTTTTGTTATATGTCTCTTGTTCTAATCTTATAAACAAATCAACAAACATATAGTGGGCACTGAGACATATCTACACACACAAGTAGGGTCACAGAAAAACAACGATCCCAACAAGAGGTGATTTTGAGAAGCATAAGAAGATGCTACCTTCCAGCCTGCTTCTTCTACTTTCCAGCGCTACATATGTCTCTTGTTCTAGTCTGCTTGTAGGGATTGCGTGCCTCACATGATCATGGTAGTAGTGGTAGTAGTCATACAACCTGTTCGCTTGTTGGTTTCAGCCAAAATCAAACCAGCTAGCCAACAGTGTTTTCCTCTCACAAAAAACCAGCACCAGCCAGCCCAAACCAACACCAGCACCAACCAGCGAACAAGGCTAGTTAAATGATGCTAGATACTACTACTCTAACCTGCAATCATCTTGTCCAGAAGAAAAACAAATACCTGCAACCATAGACAGTTTGGTGAGATAAGATAATACATGGTGGTGGTAGCCGTAGTACAGTAGTAGTCACAGTCATATTTTAAATTGCTAATCTAAATGTGTACAATCCCACAGACATGGTTTAATTTGTACAATCAAAGAAATTAGCAGTTGTAGTAGTAAATGGTTATAGTCAGAAGAAAATATTGAGAATTGCCACTAAGAAACGATAAATATTACTGCTACTAGATGTCTCTGACCATGCTATTAATTTAATCTAGAATGGTCGGATGCCTCTGATTTGTGCTCAGGAACCTGGACTAAATGTCGCTCACTGCAGTTTCTGTATGCAAGGCAGGTGAGAGGGAGGATGACCAACTAGATGTGGATGCATCCAGCGATGTAGTAGACTATCGATCTGCTGTGCATCAAAACGGATTGGATTAGAATAAATTCTACTCACAACACTCCATCTGCTACCATCGGTGAGGGGAGGGGCGATGCGGTCAGATCCGCTTTGGAGGGGCTCGCCGGCGCCGCCACCAGTGGGGGAGAGGACGGCGTCACCGCTGCTCGGAGGGAGAAGGGCTCGCCGCTGTCGCCGGGGCAAAAGCCGCCGAGCGCGCGGGCCTGGCCACGCCGTCGCCAGGGCCGCCGAGGGCGCTGGCCTGGCCGCCTGGATCCGCTTCCTCAGGATGTCACCGGCGGGTATGGTCACGGGGAGGCCGCTGCCGCCGCCGCCACCATGGGAGGAACGCCACCAGCCACCGCCGCCGTCGCCGAGCTAGTGGAAAGAGCGCCGCCGCCTCTGGAACCACCGCTGCCGACGGGATGGCCGTGCCGCCGCCGGATGCACGGGAGGGGTCGTGCTGCAGCCGCCGCCACCAGAGGGGGCAGTGGGAGGGCGAGCCACGGTCGATCCAGCGGGGGAGGGGGCTCGCCGCCGCCGCCACCACCACCGGAGGGGAAGGGGAGGGCGCGTCGTGGTCCGGGGGCGCGGTGCCTTCGTCAGTCGTCGTCGCCCAAGCGTGAGCTCAAAAACAGAGAGGACTAGAGGAGTGAAATCCGGATAGAGAGGCCCCGTTGAGATCAAAATTTTTTTGGATTTTGGCTCACTGTAGCATTTTATTTGTATTTGGTAATTAGTGTTTAATTATGGATTAATTAGGTTTAAAAGTTTTGTCTCGTTATTTCTCACCTAACTGTGCAATTAGTTTTTTTTATCTATATTTAGTACTCCATGCATGTACCACAAGATTCAATGCGACGAATACTGCGCAAAATTTTTTAAATCTAAACCGGTCTAGAGTTGAGAGAAATAAGTGAGAGATTATGATTGGACAATCTTTTATACTACACCGATTGGTAGTAATCATTACTGTTACGTGTCGATAATTTAGAGGGTGGATGGTTCGGCACTGATCATGCCGGAGTCGGGCGACGCTCCGCCAGGGCTCTAAATATTTATTTAGAGCGCAAGGTCCTGAATAACATATATAGTCTAGTAATGAACTCTATATATATTATAAAAAAAAAGTTTGTATTGTCATGCCCTCCTGGCTCCGCCAGTGGAAAGAGAGGTGTTGTGTAGGTAAAACTTGTGCGGACATGTGGATCTAAGCAGGGATATGGGACGAACATCTCATAAACTACGTGCTCTAGGTGTCATCATGTTCTGCGTGGGATTGTCCATTCTCTTTGCTGGACTGTCTGCTAGTGTACTTATTTTCATTTTCGAAGTACATAACACTTAGGTTTGGAAATAAAGAGTTTAAGATGCTGGTGATCATGCTTAACAAGGTCGTGTCCTGCTGGGACATGACACATAAAGAACACTCTCGTTGATCTAGCCACCCCAAGTCCGTACCTGATCTTCTATCCATAGCAGAAAGCAAGTCAATTGAAGAATTTAGGGCGTGTTTAGTTTATGAAATGAAATGGTCCATCATCACCTCACTCTCTAGTTTTTTTTGTTTGTGGAATAGATAAGTTGATCCATCACAACCTTATTTTTCACAAACTAATAATTAGTACTGATATGAGCAATGAGGTTATTTCACTCAATTTTTAGAATAAACTTGTGATGCATTACCTCATCTAGAATGAGTTGATTTTCTCAAACCAAACACTCTATTACATATTGGATGAGTTCATGTTCATCAAATAAGACTGTCAAGGTCAGTGCTAGCCGAACCAATGTGAATTTATTAGAATAACAAATTAAGGCCTTGTTTAGTTATTTTAAAATAGATCTAGGAATCAAGCCTATATAAATTAAGTAACCATTCCAACCGAGAATCTTTTCAAGAAGATGGTTCTTGCATAACCGAACAAGGCCTAAGGGCTTCTCCAATGCATCAAGCTGGCGTGCTACCCCATCTTCCACATCCTCACCATGCTAACATATCACACTCAATAGTGGTCTCGCATATTATCATATACTCCTACAGAGAAAGAAATAGCTTGGTCTGACAAAAGAACAAGGCAGCGCTTGAGGAGCGCGATGGGGCAAGGAAGCCACTCGATCACCTTGCTTTCTTGGCTGACAAAAAGCTGCAGCCTGCTGGGTGATGGGATAGGAAGCAGATAGAAGACTGCTCGGAGACTCTACACATATTGTCCTCAACTCATGAATGTCTCTGTAGACTGCACTCTCTCTCAGAAGCTAATATTAGATACTGTCTCCGTTGGGCATGCCCTAAGAGGTTTGCTACTTTTTCTATAATATCAGTTTGCCTTTTTTTTTTGAAAATTTGTGGTGGAATGATATGTAAAATTTTCTTTTGTAAGTATAATCGTACTTTTTAAAACTAGGAGCTTTGGGTGTATCTTTCAAAACTCTATACATGTTCATTCAAGAACTTAGACTGAGTATTAAATATAGATAAAAAAATAATTAATTACACAGTTTGATTGTAAATTACGAGACAAATCTTTTGAGCCTAGTTAAGCCATAATTAGACAATAATTGTCAAATACAAACAAAAATACTACAATATCCGATACTAATTTCTAACCTCAATCTAAACCGGACCTTATTCGCGTCATCATCAAAATTCAAAAACTCAAGGCTTCTGCAGTTACGTAGGTGTGGGCCCTCGTCGACGTTTTTGGGTACAGGGGGCACCGATTCGAAAGTTCCAGACGCTCCAGTCGAGTCTCAGAAAGGAAGATGTGGGGGAAGGGAAAGAAGCGTTTCGGCGGCGGCGGCGGTGAGCCGGCGGCGCCCAGGCCGCCGGGGACGACGGCCCCTCCGAACCCGCCGAAGACGGTACGGTCGTAGCCGAGGTATGGACCGCGCCCAATACCTTGTTTCGAGACAGAACCCTAGGGGCTAGAACCCTAACTCATTGGATCAATCTGATGGCGCTCGTGCAGATATCGAAGAACAAGAAGGTGTCCGTTAGGAGCTGGAAAGGCAGGGTCTACGTCGACCTCCGCGAGTTTTATGTCAAGGACGGCAAGACTCTCCCCACCCGCAAAGGTACCACCAGCGATTTCTGCCCCTCTCATTTCTGTTCTACTATTCCTATGGGTGTTCTTTTTTCCCCCTGGCTGCGTCTGGAATCCGAGTAGAGCACTTCAGGTCAAGGTATCTTGCACCATTGTTAGCACAGATGGATTTAGTTTAGGGCTGGATTAAGGACGCACTTGGTTTTGTTCTACACTTGGTTTTGTTCTAGAAATACATGTGCGGCTTTGCGGCGAGAAAATTGGCTATTTGCCATTGCAAACAATGGGCTTCGCAAAATTGCCATTCAAAAAATTGTCTTCGCAAAATTGCCAGTCTAAACATGTACACTTTGTTTTTGTTGCCATAATCCCTATTTAGCTCCTTTGTTTCTGTTTTTTTGGGATTGTCCTCCACGTGAAAAGACATTTCTGCCCTTGCTGCTGGGAGACGTCGGGTGGATCACCGTTCGCACCTCGTCAGACGTCAGAAAGATCAGCGTCATGTTTCTGGAAGAGAACGAGAATACGGAGCAATATATTTTATAATGTGATTGTACTACAGGAACGCAAAATTTTCTCGAAACTGTTCTAGCTTATCTCTGCCAGTGTCACATGTACATTCCTGAAACTGTTCTAGCTTATCTCTGCCAGCGTCACATGTATCCACCGCGATGTGAAATGAGACGAGGGACCACGAGGAGGGGCGGCGAGGTCACTCCGAGTTCCACCGTGGTCATGCCGACGGCTGTCGAGGTCGCTGCGAGTTCCTCCATGGTCGTGCCGACGGCCATCGTGGTCGCTGCAAGCGCAGGTGACGACATGGCGGCGCTGAGCACGGGTGGTTGTGTGGCGGGGGCGAGCGCGTCCGCCGGCGGTGCCGCGTCACGGCCGCCCTGCATCGTGGACGTCTAGGGCACGCGAGCGTTCTTCGTTTGCGAGTGGATAGATTTGAGCTATCTTTTTGACGTCCGATGCAGGAGAAAATTGGCTATTTGCCATTGCAAGTGGATAGATTTGAGCTATCTTTCTGACGTCCGATGCAGGTTTGCGAGTGGATACGGATTTGAACTATCTTTCTGACGTCTGATTAAGCCAAGGTGCAAACGGACGTCTCCCAGCAGCCAAGGACAGCAATGTCTTTTCGCGTGGAGGACAATCCAAAAAACAGAAACAAAGGAGCTAAATAGGGATTATGGCAACAAAAACAAAGTATACATGTTTAGACTGGCAATTTTGCGAAGTCAATTTTTTGAATGGCAATTTTGCGAAGCCCATTGTTTGCAATGGCAAATAGCCAATTTTCTCGTTTGCGGCGCCCACAGTTGAGCTGCTCAGCCCAGGATATACATATACTTTGTGATCCACATGGATTACCAGCCTAGTATACAATTCTTGTAGTCACTAACCTCTAATCAATCAAAATTACTTTACTTGTTCCTTGTTTCTATATGTATGAACCACATGTTTTAAAATGTGGATGTACCTTGATGGAAAAGACCAGGATATGGTATAATCGGCATGTGGCTCCAATTCCTTTGGTCAAGAACAATAATTCATCCTTGAGCTGCATTTAAAATCAAGGGTATTAGTAGATGAATATGTATTTACCCTTTTAAGCAATGGATAGAAGATTATAAATAGAACACTTTGAAAGGAACCATACTGCTTCATATTTCAGAAGGTTCAGATCCTTCCTTTTGTCACTCTCATTCTTCCTATGGTGTCATCATTTGCCTTTTGTTGCTCTAATTATGTCTATGGTGTCACCATTTGCAAGACCATTCCCATTTATCCATCAGCTGTTACTGCAATAACATTGTCAGGATCCAAAACAATGAGCAGCAATAATGTCAGACCTTAGCAGAAAGCCTCTTGCTCAGGGAGGACTGCTCTCACCATACACCCAATCTCTGGTAGCCGCTACACCTTAGGATAAAGCATACTTGGCACTATTAGTGATACTTCAACTAATCTCTTCAATATCTATAGTTGTCTGTGAAATTTCTCCTGTGCTGTAAAAATATATAATTAGAAAATTGTTCCTAATTACAAATGCAAGATACTGCATATCCAATGGAAAGAAGTGCCATGTTATATCAGTCTTAATCTGATCAGATACCCCAGGAAATCATCCAATATGTGGCTCAGGCGCAAGATGGATGTCAGATCATTCCCTATGTAGGATAGAACGTTGTGTTTTGCTTAGTCACAGCCTGCGTGCTGAGGGGGCCTTGGACCTGTATTGGGGAGCTTTTGACGTTGTGCTGTGTTGCTGTTTCCGTGGGGTTTTGTTTTGGTTAGTTTGGTTGGGTCCGTGATGGCTGATCCCTTGGTGATCAGAGTCATGGACAGCTTTTTCGGTATTTCATATCTCGCTATTACGTTACATTCTGAACTGTGTAATTTCATTACGTACGTAATGAAATTCGGTTTTGACCGTTGTGGAAAAAAAGATACCCCAGGAAATATACATTTTTGTCAAGCATGTGGTAGATATATACCCTCTTTCGGTCTTGATTCTTGATTCCTTCACTTGTTCTATGAGATGGATCAGTTTCACCAAGAATCTGTGGTAGGCAATCACTTCATGCAACCAGAATTTGTGAAATACTTGCATTCGTGCAATTATTACTATATGAACCTCAATGCAGCAGACACATAGGAATAGTAGATAAGGATAAACAAGAAGAATTTGGTTGAACTCACCACAAAAATTACAAACTTCAACTAATCTCTTCAATATCTATAGTTGTCTGTGAAATTTCTCCTGTGCTGTAAAAATATATAATTAGAAAATTGTTCCTAATTACAAATGCAAGATACTGCATATCCAATGGAAAGAAGTGCCATGTTATATCAGTCTTAATCTGATCAGATACCCCAGGAAATCATCCAATATGTGGCTCAGGCGCAAGATGGATGTCAGATCATTCCCTATGTAGGATAGAACGTTGTGTTTTGCTTAGTCACAGCCTGCGTGCGGAGGGGGCCTTGGACCTGTATTGGGGAGCTTTTGACGTTGTGCTGTGTTGCTGTTTCCGTGGGGTTTTGTTTTGGTTAGTTTGGTTGGGTCCGTGATGGCTGATCCCTTGGTGATCAGAGTCATGGACAGCTTTTTCAGTATTTCATATCTCGCTATTACGTTACATTCTGAACTGTGTAATTTCATTATGTACGTAATGAAATTCGGTTTCGACCGTTGTGGAAAAAAAGATACCCCAGGAAATATACATTTTTGTCAAGCATGTGGTAGATATATACCCTCTTTCGGTCTTGATTCTTGATTCCTTCACTTGTTCTATGAGATGGATCAGTTTCACCAAGAATCTGTGGTAGGCAATCACTTCATGCAACCAGAATTTGTGAAATACTTGTATTCGTGCAATTATTACTATATGAACCTCAATGCAGCAGACACATAGGAATAGTAGATAAGGATAAACAAGAAGAATTTGGTTGAACTCACCACAAAAATTACAAATAGAATAGTTATATGTCTATAACTAATAACTGTATCTAGGTTCTGTACATTCCTAAAATAAACTGAATGTGGTTTGTCAGATGCACACTCTCTTACCTCTATTTTGACAGCACAGTCAACTCCATCAGTGCTGCCTAGCTGTGGGAGGCAAGTGAGGAGTGAAGATGCATTGGATGAGCTCGTGCATCGCATAGAACAGATAATATCAGTAAAAATGTATGAGTTATGGACGAGTGAAGATGATTTGCATCTACATGTTGAGATGAAAAGTAAAAGGTCCAATCAAACACATATACAACAAGTGAGATTTGGACCTGTTACCTGGTGAGATATTTGTCGCAGTCTTGGCCTCCAGCTTCGAGTGCAGTGGAGGATGAATCCAGCAAAAATGTTGGTGATGGACGCTTACTCTCACAGGGATTGATTGTTTGCTTGGGAAGTTGCAGTAGATAAGGTCGGGTGGAAGGAGATGTGAGAAGTGGAAGAGACTGGCGCAGGAGCTGTTGCTGTTTGGACTGCAGCCCAAGCTGGTCCGTTGCTATGCAGCGAGTCATTTTGTTGAACAGGCCGTGTGCACGCGAGGTGTGCTACGCCTGCGTGCTGCTGGCACACCCAGAGCTGCCTCTGGTGGTGTGGAGAGCCCACTGCCGAGGAAGAGGATAGCTGCCGTTGCAGGTGGACCTCCTGTAGCTGCTGCCTGAGGTGCCCGTGCTGCATGACATCTTAGGCCGCACGGAGCACCTCGCAGCCTCATGTAGAAGACCAATGCAACGGCGGCGAGGTGATGAGGGCCATGATGCTGCCCTCGTTGATGCGGCAGGGAGAGCCACTGTGCTGCCACTCTTCCCAAGGTCCCTGCACCTTCCATGAGCCCGTTCAACCGCCCTGCGTCACCACGAAGCCTAGTCATCGCATGACTTGCCAAGGGGCGGCTGTGAGCTCTGTAGCTCCGTGCGCTCTGCACAGACTCTACACTTCGGCGTTTCACGCCACACCCTACACATGGCTGCGCCGCGGGGAAGTAGGTGGACTCACAGGGGAGCGGCAGCAGGTGAGGCACAGGCAGGGACGTGGGGAACAGGATAGGAATTCGCGGCTCATGAAGGTTCATGGTGGTTCAGTCAACCACGAAGCGGGTAGGAGATCTGAAGTGACTTGCATTGGACAGATACAAACTCAACCTGTGGGGGGGTTATGACGGCCCCGGGTTTTCTTACTAAGAAGAAGATCTTCTCACACAGATCGAGAAAACCCCCGAACCCCCGTCCACATCCTGACGCAGCGGTATCCTTGGCCAGTGAGAAGGCGTCTGCCGGACGTGGGCCGTGCGGCACTCAAGGCGCACACACACACATCCACAGGCCGGACTAGACCCTGGGCCGGACCATTACTGCGCTTTGGCACATGTGACGGGCGAGGGAATTTTTTTAACTTCAGCCTGAAATTCGCTCCCACGGGGAGTCGAACTCAGGACCTGAGGAGTGCCGCCGGGAAGCCTAACCGATTGAGCTAGGCACCCTTTGGCTGCATTGGACAGATCAGATCGCTTGATTGCACGATCCAACGGTTAAGGGGTGACTCGCGGCGTGGCCCTATTGTATTATATATAAGATTAAAGATGGGATGAATGGCTTCCTTCTAACCTAACTGCTTATGTGCTCACAGATTTTAGCTTTAATTGATTTTTGCCATGTATTTAGACCATTATGTGAACTTTAAACATACGTACCAATAATAGAATGAACATAGCACTGGAAAAAAAATCGTAATGTTACAGAACTTATCGAGGTAGAATCTATGCCCAATGTTTTCAAGTCGTCCAGTCGAACCAAGTCGCCATAGGACCGACTAGGACGACTAATCGCGATTAATCGGGCGACTTGTACAAGTCGACGGTACCCCTCATCGGTCACCAGGGACCGATTAATTGCGATTAATCGGACGACTTGTAAACATTGTCTATGCCTTTAATCTGCACATAACATTTTCTGTTACTGTTATGCAAGTTTGTGACAACAAGCTTTTGCTCTTCATCACTTGAATTTGAGACCATGCACTTAGCCAAGTGATGAAGTAAGGATTGCTTATATGCATATCCTGGTTGATAGTTATGAATAAGTAATGCTGTTGAGTACTCTAATTATCATGGTGTGTTTATTTGGAAATTATCATATTTGGAGCTGACATATTCTGTTTTAAGCCCATGGCTTCAAAGGTAAGAGTATTAATTGCATGGTAAGCTTAGATATGCTTTTGGATGAATTCTATTACAACATGGACATCAACATATGGGAGAGCAATTAATTTTCTTGATTCAAATGTGGCGCCATCTTTAATATTTCCTAGAGATGATTGTATATATTCTCTACTTATTAATAGTAATATAATTTCATCTCTTCTTTTCCTTTCCAGGTATATCACTCCAGTTAGATCAGGTCAGTGGTGTTTTCAATTTTTTACATATGTTGTATGATTCTTAGAATTTATATGCGTGCAGGAAGTTTGATTTCATGAAAATCTAGATCTTAGTATATTTGAAATTTGCATGCCATACTTGGAATATCAAGTAGCCCTATGAAAATTTATTTGACAAGCATTGCCATTCTTTTATGGTCATGACAATATTCTCAGCAACATGGGGACATAGTTCTATGCTATTCTACGGTCAAACAAATTTAAAAAAAGGGCGTACCCAGTGCAGAGAGCTCCTGCTCTGTGCGGGGTCTGGGGAAGGGTGTCAGTGGCAAGCCTTACCCTCGCCTGTGCAATGCGACGAGACCGCGACTCGAACCCGGGACCTTCCGGTCACAGGCGGTAAGACTCTACCGCTTGCACCAGGCCCGCCCTTCTACAGTCAAACAAATTTATCACTATTAATCTGAATAATAATTAGTACCAATATCCCATTTGTCAGGTATCCAGGAACATAATCCGAAGTAGTTATTCTGTTATCTTTGCAGTGAGTTGCCAAGATCAAGGCACAAAATATGCCATCATAATAATTTTTAGCTGCTATTGTACTCTTGGCAAAGTACATGACATTGCCATTCTCCCTCGCCTTTTTTTTTGTTAATGAAGCAATAAGTTTTTCATTCCTGTTGGTATTTACATCTGCAGTGGAAGATATTGAGGGACAATATCAAAGCCATAGACGAGGCCATCAAGGAGAACACATGATGGGAGCAGCCAAGCAGTCACGTATGGGCAAACTTTTGCTTCTCGTCTGATGCCTGATGTAGGTAGTAGTGGCAAGACTGTTTTTTGTTGCCCATATGCTGCCATGTTGCTTTTGTACACTTGGCCACCTGCTGTTGTAGGTGGCCACATGGCCGAAAGGTTTGGTTTCTGCCTCGTGGTATGTAAACTTCGGATGACGGAACTTCTCACTTCATCTCCTAACCAGTTTGGTAGGAGTGCAGAACTAAGCTTTGCTGTAAAAATGATCCTGTTTCTTACTTGCTTTATTATGAGATTATTATGCCAGCAAGCATTGCTGTTTGGAATTGTAATTGGCTGGTCGGACGGTGCAGGCCTAATCCTCGTTAGGCTCGAATTAAAACCTTGGCATTCATTCTTGGGCCAAGGTCTATTTGCTTCGATTGGGAAAGGAAAACGTACCCAATTATATCACTGTCGTCTGACTTCCATGCCCGAGCTCTAAAATTGACTATTTTAGCCCTATAACTCGTAAAAGCTTAAAACCGTTAAATTACTTTTATGGCCTGGGGGCGGGGGGGGCGGGAGGGAGGGGGAGGGAGGCGAGCCAATGTATCAATGAATAGATTTTTGATCAGTGATTCACCAGCTACTACATTCTTGGATCCCACCTTATTCTCAAACCTGGTGGCTCGCTTGATTGGTAGTCCTGTAAGCTCATCTTGCATACAAATTTTTGGGTACCAAGGACTGCATCCACCGAGAACATTTCTTCCCTTAAGCGTAAGCGTAAAACTGAAGAGTATTTGATGCTTTGGGTGTTACCTTTCCTTTCCCTACCTCAATTCCTCGTCCATTCCGTATGGATTCTCCACTGTCCCCTACAAGCTAAAGTAAGGGAACAAACTATGCCAGCTCAAGCTAGAACTCACTTAGAAGGTCAGGAAAGGGCGACTTTTCGGGAGATCTCCAAATCACCGGTATGACTATCGAAATCGTGAGCATCAGCATGTAGGTTCCAGATCCAAGTGGTAGTATCGGGGCCCTTAGCTATTGTTCTTGAGAAATGCCCGGGTCTGGCCCATTCCTCAAAAGATGTTTTTACAGGATCCCTATCCACAGCAATTTGAACTTCTGGTTCCGACGGGTGAATAATCATTAAGTCCTCTTTCCGGATAAGACATACAAAGAGACACTAGAATCCTAGCAAGAAAATATCCCTCATTTTTTAGGTAATTGAAGTGGGATTGACGAATAATATATAAAAATAATAGTGTTTATTAGTGTCTCATAAAACGAAATGACATGGGGCGTGGCCAAGTGGTAAGGCAGCGGGTTTTGGTCCCGTTACTCGGAGGTTCGAATCCTTCCGTCCCAGATTTTTTCTGATGAAGCGAAAGATAGAATCGTATTGTGCCCTGCACGACACAAAAGTTTATTAAAGAGAATAATTATCTCTTATGAACTCGTAGATTAGATGCATTTCTAAGCATTTTTTTCTTTCTCAGAAAACAAAAAATAAAGTGTCAAGTCCAGTCAAATTTAATATCTTTATTTTCATGAAAAATTTTTGTCTATCAGGCACATTCAGGATATGCCCCTACTACTCATTACTCATATGTGTTTTGAATATGTGTTTTGAAATTTGAACTTTTTTGATAAACTTTATACCCCGTATCTATGAAGTGGGAATTCTTACAGGATCCATTTGACACCCAATATGAAAGAAAAGAAGTACCCCCCTATTTATTTTTCCAAAAAAGAGAAAATCCTTTAGCTGAATAAGGGGCGGATGTAGCCAAGTGGATCAAGGCAGTGGATTGTGAATCCACCATGCGCGGGTTCAATTCTCGTTGACTCATATAAGGCTCGCGATCGGGTGCATCGTTGACTCGGGGGCAGTTCTATACCCATTCTATCTGGGCCTAAATGCTGGAGTTTCAGAATGAAGTCTACTTCTTACTGACTTTCTTAGAAGGCTTCCTATATGCTTAACACATTGACGTCTAAGGCTAAGCTTTCTTTCTAATGGTAAGCCGGGGATCTAATAGTCCACCTCACCCTAGCTCTCTTTACGTCGATATAGGTTGCTTTTTTTATGACTAGTCCCATATAGACGGTAGGCCTTATTTTCTACCTCCTCTACCTAGTCTCACTTTTACTAAGGAGGGAGAGAAGAGGGTTCTCCGGGACGGAAGACATCTCTCACTCGTACATATATGGATGGGGAGGCTACCTCTACAAGGGAAGAAACTGAGCAGCAGAGATTTTGGTAATAGCAAAGGGGATCCAGATGATTGAAGAACAAACAAACTAACAATCTAAATCCAGCTTTTATTTGGGTCGTTGGACCTTCAGGCTTCGGGTTAGGTCATCAGGATCAAGCTATCATGCACAGGTTCTGAAAAGGGCCTTGTCCTTCCTATGAAATAAAGAGGGTGATTTTTTATACTTTTGATGCACAGTCTCTCGTCTATTTGCCCAATTCAGACTTGGTAGTTCCACGTATACACACGAAGTGGTAGGTGAGGGTGGGGGTTCTATTTTTGAAGAATAAGGAAGAGGAATAGAATCTCATTCATGTGTTCGTGCTAACAAAAGAGCGGATCCAATACACACACATAAGGCATCGGTTGTTCTTAACAGTGATGGCTATTCATTTAAGTCTTCGGGTAGCACCACCAGATCTTCAACAAGGTGGAAATTCTTATATAGTATAATAGTAGTAGACGGCAGTAAATCCTACAATGGTACTTCCGTGGAGATAGGATCCTACAATTTGAATAGTTACCGGCCAAGAAAAGACTACTCAAAAATCTGCTACTTCGTTTCCAAGCAAGCAAAGCGCCGCTACTTATTTCTTTCACTTCAATTCTATTGAATTCTTTTTTTCATTAATAGTTTGGAAGTCAATTCAGAAAAGCAAGCAAAGCGCCGCTACATAATCAGCTACTT